TTACCATAAGTAAGGGTATGATAAGGTATGACACCTTCTTCGTCTACTAAAACATTTCGGATTTTGTGAGCAAAAAGATTTGGTAAACCATTGATAAATTTTTCTTTCCAAAAGATTTGGTATACCATCTGAAATCACTTAAGGTTGGACACCTTAAATTACTCAGTTGGTCGTGAATGCGAGTAGTAACGTTGCTGGGTGTTCTTATAAAGTGTTCTATAATCGTATAAAGTAAGTATTTACTCCGTCGGGTATTCCTTGTCCTATCGTTTCGTCAAAGATAGGAAGTCCTTCCTCATCTTTTTTTACCACAAAGCGTATTTCATCCCTAGACTGAGAAGTTAAGTGCTTCTCCCACCAAGATTGAAGCATTCCAATGAAGCCAGTGACGAGAAGATCAACGATTTGTGTTTGTGTAAAATTGTGATTTGAAATATAGCTATTAGCAACCATGGACATGTGTTGAAGTTTGTTCAAAAGTTCTTGTTCTGACAATCCATCTATATTCCATTCATAAAGTTTGTCAGCAGAGACTGAAAATTGATTTTGGATATTTCTTTCTTCAAACTGAAGATCAGGGGGAGTTGGCCTGGGATACCAGTTTTTTGTAAGAGAAGTAGGGTTGACAGGATGAGTATTAATGCGTTTTAAATCAAAAGTTGGCTGAAGATCAATGTTTTGAAAAGCATTTTCAATATTTTGAATAGCAGAATTAGTTTCCGTGTCCTGAGAAGAATCTGGATCAGATGTGTTGTCTTCTTCGATGAAAACATCATTGTTTTGCAAAACATTAACAACTTTTTCTTTTTTGAGCTCAGTGAACATATGATCAATTTTTTGTAAAGTAGTCATAGATTTTAAAGCAGTGGAACTTGAAGAGGTATCAGTAAAATTTACTAAAGGTTTTTCTTTTTGAGAAGATTTTGGTTGAGACAATTTGTCAATTTTTGTTTCAATTTTATCTAACTGTTTTCCAATAGTGTGAAGACTTTGGTTTGTAAAATTATTCTGCTCGATGACAGGTTTAAAACCAGAATCCTCTTTTGGAATTTTGAAAGGGGTTGCGGGAATGTTGGTATTACCAGTGGAAATTAAAATAGTTTCTTTGGGAGGATGACTGGAAGAAACCAAAGTTTTGTCTTCCTTAACCCAATTTTCTTTGGTAACAACCGTAACTTTATTTTTGGTTTCATAATGTTTTTCAATGAAATCAAAGAAAGATATTTCAAATTGGTATTGTTCTACAAAAGCTTTCCATTCAGCATAAATGGCTAGCTTTTCTTCATCACAATACTTTTTTTCGAAAAATATTTCTTCTGGGGATGTTTTCCTCAGAAGCGATGTCAGCTTTAAGCTTCCCCCATCTGATTTTATGTGGTTTGTTTAAAACAAGTAATTGGTGATTCACCGATGTTGTTTCAAAATCAGAAGCAGTTGGAGAAGTGGGTTCTTCTTGGTTTGGAGGATGATAAACAGGATGTGCAACTTGTGAAGAAGTGTCGACAGACTTTAATTTGAGCAAATCATTGATTAAATCTTGTTGTGCAGCTTCCTGCTCTTTTAACTTTTTGTTCACTAAAGATTTGATTAAATCTTGATCTCGACCCAGTCTATCGGTTGACGTGGATCCAGAAAAAGACTGTCTGCTTGGAGTAAAAGATTTATGTGAATGTACTGATTCACAAGATTTTCTTGCTGGTCTATCAAAATTGATTTTTACAGTGCCGTCAAAATATTGTTCAATGTTGTCAAGATTAACAAGACTGTTTTGGACGGAAACCGGCTTACTTTCATTAATTAAACACCAATCTGAAGAGAGACTAATGTCTGACCACCTAATGGTTCTTGGTACTCTTATGTTTGCGCTTTCTTGGGTTGTTTGGATCAAAAGAGTGTGGTCGCGAGGACTTTTGTTCAAAGGTTGAGAATTCATGTTTGTGCCAGTGACTTTGTAATAAATTCTAAAAATAAGTGTCAAAGGTTGTGTTCCTTCCAGGACTTGGTACCCGGAGGTTTTGATATTAAGAGTAAGAGCTTTTAAAACATGTGGATCTGAAAGACTTATTGTGAGATCGGGAAAATAATCAAAATGGATAGGTCCGTTGTAAAGACTAGATTCGATCATTCCGAGTATATTATCGTTGAAATCAGTAAATCTAGCGTCGCGTAGACATAAAATGATAGAAGTGTTAAGACCTTTTCGTGTTAATGGTTTAACTGCGATTTGAACTAAACCAATATGAAGATAGTTATGACCATTTTTAGGATGTGCTTTGATTTGTTCTGGAGAAAATAATTGACAAGTCTCATGTTCCTTGCTAAGAGCATAAGCCTTCTCAACTGTTTTGACGTGATGTTCTGATTTAAAAGAAGTCAAAGACCATTTTTTCTTGTAAATATTTTGGGTTGAAACTTTTGGAATGTTCCAGTCAAAAAAATCAATACTTTCATCTGTTTGAAAATCCAGTTTTTGTTCTTCATTGACAATGTCAGGTATAGTTCCTAAGTTGGACCTAGAGCTAGTGCTGGCCATTGAATTAGATCTAAATAATCTATCATGATGCATACAAAACAAATATGCTATATGCAAGACTTAAAAGATTCACCTTCCTCGTATGTCTAGATTCTTCCCCCGCTCATGCCTCTCCTGGGACTTAATGTTTGGACCACGCCTTACTGTTTGGCTGGAAGAAATAAGAACTGAGGACCGACGATTAAGAAATGCAGATAGAATATAAGGATGTATGAATCAAAAACAGATCAAATAAATGCTACTCAAAAACAGATCATATATATATATATATATATATATATATGTGAACATATAGTAGTATTATATACATAGGTAAACTATATATATAATACTACTATACGTTCATATAGGTAAACTATATATGTGTACATATATATATATATAGCTTATGGTAGTAATACATACATTTGAAGTATATATGTGTGTGTTAGGGGTAATAATATGTGCAATAATTATATTTTTTTTTATTGTAATTAAGGTGAGTAATAACATTTATTGATTTTATTTTGAATATTGCGGTGCTAATTGTAAATATTTTGTAATAATATGTCAATTACTACTATACTTGGCAATCATTTTTAAATTTGGATTTTGTTTAGATGTTTATAACTAAGTAGGTTTTTATCTAGGAAATAAGAGTTACAAGGGTCTATATCTAAAGAACCCTAAATTAAACTAGATTAGTTTAAGATGTAAAAGCTCGTAAAGTATCATCTTATGATTGACTTTATGACACATTTCTAACGTGACAATGAATGTTCAGATTATTTGTCAAGCATGAAAGATGTTATATTGTCACATGGACATATATCTTTCACCTCCTATGAAGAAATTGTTTACAATAACAACGACGAACAATATGAACAATAACTGCAAACTCAAGAGAGTCAAACGTATTGTAAGAGGCCATTTGTTGATCGTACCAAATGATGATGGTTGTCATTTACGCTTCTTGGCTTCAATAACGTTAACGGTTCATCTTTGTGATTTACCGACATGTCGTTCTTGACGACCATGTTGTTGAGCTGTAGTAAGTTAAGTGCACATTTGGGGTGGGCTCAACCATCATCAAAATAATTCGCCATGTATCGGTCTGCATTTGCTTAGTGGGTTGGATTGTATTTTCAAGCCCATCCGTCGAAATGCCATAACTTGGTACAATCAAGGCCCACCTCTATTCCCCTTCCGGCCCATCTACCTAACAGCCCGATTAAATAAGATGAATTATATGTTATCAAAACGACTATTCACATGTACGTAAGTGGTCTTAGGTTCGTTCTCGCCAAAAACGAATTTGAACTACATTATTGATAGCTCATTGTGAGGCTTAAGTCCATCCTACTTCTTCTTAGTGTAGATAATATCATTTGTTAAAAAAAAAAAACGACACGACCCAAACCCACAAACGAAGGACACACATGTATGGGAGATTGATCAAACAGAACCTCTGATTTGGAAAAGCACTTGGAATTAAGTACTAGAATATATGATGGTGATGCAAAAAGCATGTGGTCCTAGAAAAAGAAAAAGACTAAGGGGATGAAACTAATTAGATTGTCAACAAGTTGAACCATCTTATGTAGAAAGGTGTTTAGAAACCAAATATTAAGGCTATTAATTTCGTCAGTATTAAACGAATATCACTGGATTTAAAAAAAAATCTGCATAAAAAGGAATATTAGGGTTTTAAAACCCTAAAATTGATTTTTGATAAAAAAAAAAAAAATTTAAGCATGCATGTTCTTCATTGAGCAAGGAAGCTTTCAAGTTTCTTGTTCATATTTCACAATTTAAAACAAATAATTAATGACAATCTTCTCGTCTCTTAACTATGGGGATTTTTTTTTATTATTTGATGGGCAATGGCGTATAGCGGTATAGGAAGATGGATGCTCTATTTGCAATGGGAAATTTTTTCTTATATCTTTTCATTAATTTAGATTTATGTTAATTTATTTACACATCAAGTGACGATCATCTTTAACTTTTAATTTGGACGGTTAGATGTAAAAGATCCAAGAGCTAATAAGAAGAGAGAAACTGATGCATGAAAACGAGGGCGCCAACGAACACAACGATGTACGAATTTAGCAGTTGCCAGATATGGTTATGCCACCTATGAAAATATCAATCCAATCCAAATCCCAGAACAAATCATACCCCTTAAACCCCTTCTTTCTCCCTCAAACCCCATAACCCATATTTTTCTATATTCTCTGCGGATTTGGTTTCTAATTCAAAGAACGATTTGAATTAGAAATCAAAGATTTTGGGGCCGAGAAAGAATGGTTGGGCAATCAGGAAAATGGATGATACTTGTGGCGGCGATGTGGATACAGGCGTTCACGGGGACAAACTTTGATTTCGCATCGTATTCTTCTGAACTGAAATCTGTGCTGGGGATTTCTCAGGTGCAGCTCAACTATCTATCGGTGGCCTCGGATATGGGGAAGGCATTGGGTTGGTGTTCTGGGGTTTCGCTCATGTATTTTCCCTTGTGGGTTGTTATGTTCATGGCTGTCTTCATGGGTTTGGTTGGTTATGGCCTCCAATGGTTTGTCATTCGTGGAATCATCCCTGTGCCCTATGTCATGGTTAGTCAGCTCTCGTCTTTCTTTCTTTTAATTCTTGCAACGGAATTATGTGATTCTCGCACTCCCATTTTCTTTCTTTGAATAAATGAAGAATCAACATAATGCAAGAAGAGAAAACGGAAGTGAAAATCGATATCCTACTTTAACGTGTTTTCCATCTTCCTTGTCATATATTTTGCGGATTTGGTTTTTCTTTGGATATATGTGTTCATATGTTTTTCTTGCAATTTCGGTTATAATTTTTTTGGAGTCAGTTTTCTTTTTTTTCTTGGGAAAGTGAAGGGGAAGTTAGGCCTAAAATTGGTGAACTTGTAACCTCCACGGCCACAAAAGCATGTAGGCTGATGTGCTTAATTTCAACCTTTCAGTTCGAGTCCTAGTAAGTCAACTAATCAGCCAATCATAGGGAAAACAAGCACATCATTTCAGTGAGGACTCCATCTACCCCAAAAAACACTTGAAAACTGAGGTGATGAATTTTTTCCCTCACGATCTCTTTTTCGTTTTGTTTTTGTATTAGCATGCAGGAAGAAAAACGTCAAAATAAAAGTTGGGAGTCACTTAATACTTCAATCTAGGATTTTCTTTTATTTGGAAGTTTCCCGCTGATGACAAGTTCGACACGGCATTATCATGATTGGTTCACTCTAGCTGAAATTAAATCCTACCCTAGGAATTTATATCATTGTATTCACAAAATGAAATAATAAAGTTGTGGACCTAAAAATATCATTTCTGACAAAATCTAAATCAATGTTAAGTAAAGCATATTGTATTAAATTAACAATAGAACTATGCAAGTCGGTGTGACAGATACAAAAGTATATACGAAAATGGATAATGTTAGGGTAAATCCATTTTCCCTAAATCAACTATTTGTTTTGTTAAACTAAGTTAGATTTGTTTGTGTTTTTCTTTTGGCTTAATTGTAATAATAATCTCTGAATTTTACCTCTAATTTAATTTTTATACTCTCATATTAGTTTCTTTAGTACTCAAACTTAACAATGTGTTGCTTCATTGGTCATTTTCACTAACTCCGTCTTTTTTCCGTTAAATCTAGGGTTTTATTCAGAAATTCAACTTAAAACTTCAAAAAACAATAGAAGAAACTAAAAAAAAATGATAATTTATAAATTAATATCTAAAACTTGAAACAAATGAAATTTAAATTACAAAAATACAAAATAAAAAGGGTTGGAGTTTAGCAACTTGTAGATATTAAGCAACACGATTTCATAGTTGGTAGGAGATCAAACTGTGGTTGGACTAAAATAACTAACAAATCACATATTAAGCTACGAAAAAATAATTTATATGCATTCAATTTTCTTACTCAAAAAAAAATTTGATATTTAAGATTTTTTTTTTCTCATTTTTAAATTCATTTTTAGTTATGTGGTATACAGTTCCAATATACGCTTGAAGTTCATGAGAAATAGATGGCATTAGTGAAAAAGACCAATGGTACAACACATTTTAAGTTCAAAGACTAGAAAAACTAATGAGTTCAGAGACTAAAATTAAACTAGGGGTAAAATTCAAAAATCATTGCTACAAATAAGCCTTTTTTCTTTCTAAAGAACCAATATTGACTCACAAAGTATTAGTACACATGACCTCGAGTGCATGAATAAACGCTCTTAACTACGTACGTTGCAAATCCCTAGCAAATAAGGTTTATTTCTTTGAGTAAATAAGAAAAATGCTTCAAAGAATTAAGAATAAGGCCACAACACAAGTTGGGACAAGTGATCCTCATTTCATTAGGAGCTAGTAATGAAAAAGCAGCAAAAAACAATTGAGATCAAAATAAAAACCAAATGAAGATTGAGGATCATAAAACAATTAACCAGATGATTAATGTTAAGTGTTTTGGCTTGGCAGGTATATCTTCTAAGCTTGTTGGCTGGATGCAGCATCTGCTGGTTCAACACAGTCTGCTATGTTCTATGCATCAGACACTTCCAAGCCAACCGCGCACTCGCGTTGTCCCTCACAATCAGTTTCAATGGGTTAAGTGCAGCCCTCTACACCCTTATTGCCAACGCGGTAAACCCGAACAGTGATACCATCTACCTCTTCCTTAATGCTCTAGTTCCTCTCTTCCCATCCGTCGTTGCATTAATCCCTGTGCTCCGTCAGCCCCCAGTTCAGTCCCTTCCCGCTGAGGCCACTCGCCGTGACTCCATGATTTTTCTTTGCCTAAACATCTTAGCTGTGGTCACAGGCCTATATCTCCTCCTCCTCAACTCACTATCATCTGATGCATCAAAAGCTCGGATACTCTTAGTTGGTGCGATTTGTCTCCTAATCCTACCTCTGTGTCTGCCTGGAATGGCATATGCGCGTGAGTGGGCTCGTAGGAACTCCCCCTCAAGCTTCCTTTCTGAAATCTCGTCAACCTTCAATCTGGTTGACACTGATGATCTTGAGCTCCACAAGGAACTCATTGCTGGAAGTGAAAATGATAATGCCACGAATGCCACAAATCCCACCAACACCAGTTCGTATGGGCTGATACACAGGGAAGGCTTTTTTGGGTGTTTCGCTTGTTTTGGGAAGGTGATGGAAAAAGACAGGTTGACAGTGCTAGGTGAAGAGCACTCAGCTAGGCTGCTCGTACGCCGGTGGGATTTTTGGCTATACTATGCTGCATACTTATGTGGGGCAACTATCGGGTTGGTCTACAGCAACAATCTAGGCCAGATTTCAGAATCACTTGGATACAGTTCCCTGACTAGTTCTCTTGTCACAGTATATTCTTCATGCTCCTTCTTCGGCCGTTTGCTCTCAGCTGCACCAGATTTCCTGCGTGAGTATGTATCTAAAAAACTACTGGTTTTATCAATTGGAGAATGAGAAAAAACCAGATGCAATAAAACCTAACCTGCGTCTTGCTAATGCAGCAAGGTCTATTTTGCAAGGACTGGATGGCTAGTAGTTGCGCTGGTGCCAACACCAATTGCCTTCTTTCTGCTGGCCGCATCAGGCAGTGAGGCAATGCTGCGTACGGGAACAGGCTTAATTGGGATAAGCTCCGGCTTTGTGTTTTCTGCAGCTGTGTCAGTCACATCAGAGATTTTCGGCCCAAACAGCGCGGGTGTAAACCACAACATCCTCATCACCAACATCCCAATTGGCTCACTCCTATATGGCCTTCTTGCAGCTTTGGTGTATGATTCCCATGAAGGAAGCTCAATCACCCCAGTGAGCTTGTTAAAGGATGCAACATTGTGCATGGGAAGGTCATGCTATAGGCAGACATTCATATGGTGGGGCTGTATTTCAATAGTAGGTTTAACTTCAAGCTTCTTGCTATTCCTACGGACAAGGACCGCTTATAATCGATTTGAGAGGAACAGAAATCGGAAACAAGTCACAGAATCCTCCTTACAAACCTCCTCTTAGCTTCAAATTTTCATAATTTTATAAATGGTAACTTTTGGAAAAGCTCATAGATGTGGGATTTCATATAATGGTAACTTCGGGAAAAGCTTATAGATGTGTGGGATTTCAAATGAAACATAGACGTAAGCAATGAGTATATGCATGTTAGACTGAGAAAATAAAGAGATTACATGTAACATAGTAGAAGGTAAGATGTCAGAAAGAGAATGTTAGAAATTTTTTAGATGAGTTCTAACCATCTTTCACCCTTCTGTTTTTGTTGTATTCTTTTTATGTATTCTCTTACACATGCTCCAAAGTACAATTCACAGAAGCATATAAACAACAAAAACAGGACTGTAAGAACCAGGTTTTTTGGTGTCCAGATCGAGTTCATCATCTATCCTAATCCCAAGTTCCTAACTGCTATCTCAAACCCCTCACCGCCTGAGCTAGCCCCAAACCTTATAAACAGGTTCCACTTTTACAACATAAACTGCTGCAATTTACAGGAGTTCAAATGGATTGAGATTTTCTTTTCCTTTTTGACATTCTACTCTTTGCATTTAACCAAGGTTTGAAAGCCTAAACAATCTTGTCTACAGTTGGCTGGGGAGACAGTCGAATAGCTATATCAAGTAAAGGTCTATCTTCATATGTAGCATTAACTAGTGGTAACTGCTCTTTTTTCCGGTAACTTCTCACTCTGAGAGAAAAAGAAACAAAAAAAAAAAAAAGAATGAAAAGATACAATCTTAAATCAAAGACGGAACTACACCATCTGGTAAATTATCAAATAAAGGTACAGACTAAACAAAGACAAGCTAAAGGTTTAACAAATCGGTGTCATCCCCTCAGTTTCATCAGATCCAAGAATCCCTTGGGGACAACGTAGTCCTTCAAGCCAAGAATCATGATAGCCACAGAAAACCTCCCAACTCGTCAGAAATGGCAAGTATTGTCACTACAGTGGATTATATGACCTTCGGATTCATTCCTCAGGTTGTTTGATGCATTTTGAGACAGCAGGTCAGTTGAGCGGTAAGAACTTATTAAAGAGGACAGTTACAGAAACCTCAAGGAGGCCTCTGAGAAATTAAGTACTTTACTAGATAACATTCTTTCCAATGTATCCGAATGTGCATACAATAGATTCTCATACATAAAATATCATATCAGATTACACCATAACGCCTAGACTGGAACAACATAAGGGACTCAGCAGTATACAGATGTAGCATCCTTAACAAGATCTGCTGGAGTTCCGCATATTCAAATTATATTAGCTCCTGATGTTAATGTCATTCAGGAGAATGAGAGCATCGATGAAAAGGCAGGCAATATAGAATATACTAATCAATAATTATGGGTGCATCTACAGTCTCACCTTTCAGCTTGCCTAGAAGTTCAGATGGGATGTCACCTCTGAGAATTTGGACTCTGAATACGAGTTTTGTGCTGCTGCACTCCAGGAGTTCGAATACACATGCATCTCCAACCTTCAAATTGTTGTCGTTGACAAATTCTCTCCAGTTAGTATCAAACTTTCTCTGACCAGAGCCGTGTGTATATGTCATCTCCCAGTTTTTGCCTCCAAACGTGAGAACAGTAGGAATTGAACAGGAAGGTAGTGTTTGTTGAAATTTGGCCGGGATCACCTATCCCAACAAATGATTATTTCAATGAACTAGACCACAGCTAATAAAATGATGATCCCAAACTAGCATATTATCAGGGATTTAAAAGCAGTACCGCCTATAACTGCAAAGACGAAAGAAGTTTGAGCAGCAACAAAGTGTTAATGTGGACAAGCATCAACAGTTAAGAAATTGACAAAATCGGATATCTCACCAACGTTCAATCACGGGAGATAAGATCATTACCATTTGATAAGAGGGCTTGACATTTGCTTTTGTGATAACGACTTCAAAAAAGGGTTTCTCTGAGAGCGGCCAAAACTCATCCCCTTGCAATTCAATCATGGAATTTGATGTGGGTTGGTCTCCCATTTGAGGATCTTCTGCTTCAGCAACTGTAACTTAACAAAAACGAAATTATCAGCGAAACAGATCATGCTCTTAATGAAAAGATATCTAACAGTGAAAAACATAATAAACATCTTGCGATGAAAAATAAGTCGGAAATTTTAAGGGCTATGACAAGTTGCTAACAGCTTCAAAAATAACTTAACAAAACACGCACTGGCGCAAGAAACATAAATAATATCAGAAAGGATGAGCAGAAGGAAACTTTTTACCTAGCAGGTAAAATAAAACTCTTTAGGAAGTATCCGAAAGGGTGAAAGTGAAACACAGGGAAACCAGTATAAAACATAGGATGAACTAAGAAGACTAATATAACGTTTGCCTATAGACTAATAACTTGAGGATTATATGAAAATGTATTCTGGACAACAAGTAGCCAAACTAGAATATATACGTGTTTACAAAGAAAGTAATTATATAACATTATTATCAACCAACTTCTGCACCTGAAGCCCCCAAATCCCAGAGGCGTGGAACGGAAGTAAATTATATGGAATGATGAGCATGAATCACCAGAGTCAGCTAAAACTTGTCTGTAGACTCCAATAACATGAGGAGAATAGATTGAAAATATTCAGACTGAAGCTAGAGACATATGAATATTAAGAATCACAGCATCAGTCCGTCAGAGAACATCCATGGATCACCACCAGAAGCCAGTGATGAAGAGCATTTATAATCTAAAGTAGAAGGAGCTGTTAGCTATCATAAAATATCAAGGTGTGTAGTGTAGGGCAAATAATTAAAGGCGAAAAGTAGGAATCGAGCTGGAACCAATAAGTTGACGAGCAAAACAATGAACATAGATGGTGAATTGTTCTTCTTCAAATATGAGATTCTAAGAACAATATAGCTCCAGCATAACCTTGCCCGCATATGGAAAATAAGTTCTAAACTGTGACAGTCCAAGTAAAGATACATCCAACCAACAGATGAACAAGCACGAAACATCAAACATAAACCTAGTATTTTCCGAACTAAGAACCTCTTGTGCTCTATGACGAACATAATTCATTAAAAACCCACAAGTCAGAAACAATAAAATCCTAAAACCCAGAAATTTGAAACCAGTTTTAGTAGGAAAAATAATACGTCGGTGGAGAACCTGGTTGGAGTGGGGATGGCCACTGAGGTTAGAGTAGCCGAGTGACAGAGATCGAGCGGAGCGAGAAGGGAAGAGAGAATCAATCAACCCCTTTTTACCTATAAATTTCTATCTGGGATTCTGGACTGTACCCAGAAGGCAAGAACCGCGGTGTATTGGAGTGACATCTTAAACTTTTTAAATTGCTTACTTTTAATACTTCAATTATTCATCACGCCTCACGTAACGCAAAAATTATTCGTATTTTATAAACACAAATTAGTCATTAGATATTTTCCAGACAAATTTTTCGATGCACCAAAAACACTGCATCATGTGTCAATTGCTTTTGTTCTTGGTACATAAAAAAAATATCTCCCCACATAATCACATATGAGGTTCATTAAGCTTGATACCGCGTAGAGTATTTGGTCTAAGTGATTAACTTAAATATGAGAATAATATCGGTGTATGATCACTTTAATAATGGACGCTTATGGATCTTGTACCTAGAAAAGAAAAGGATCAGAGAAGACAGGGCATTAGACCCTGATTCTTTTTTTACTTGAACTTCTTTATGTTCTTGTTTTACATCTTTATGAGGTGGAGTCTGATAGCAAACGAGAAAAATGTAAATAAAATTCGAAATTTCTCCCTTTAGTTGAAGTAGAACTTCTATTTATGTATCCAAGAAATGTGACTTTTACATCTTAAAATTTGCACCCTTTATATGTAACAACTGCTAAGTCAAGTCAATACATTCTCACTTGTATCGTGAAAATTTTGATTCTGTTAGTTACTTAGTCTCAGCTTGTAATTTATTTATTAGCATATATTCGTGTGCAAATACATTTGATTTCTAACTTAAGAAGAAACCACCATGAGTTGTCAGATAGGAATTATAGCTTTATCCAACCACTTTTTTTTTTTTTTTTTTAACACCATAGCTTTATCCAACTGATGCATATAAGCCAATCAATTGTTGTGTGTTCTTAATCTAATAACTCCAAAACTAGCAATCACTAAGTCAAATAGATACATTTTCACTGGCATTGCGGAAATTTTGGTTTTGTTGGCACTTATTGCTTTAGCTTGTAGTTTATTTTTTCAATGTACATTTCTTTGTAGCGTGATTGAGATAAATGACGAACAATCTTAAAAAGCAGAGTTCACATTCGACCAAAACAAAAAACAACGAAAACGCGTCAAATACAAGTATGCAAAGACCGTGGAAACGCATCAAGTACAAGTACGGAGGATCAATTGCCTTCATTCAGACTTTGAATTCGAATGGACACGTGGGAGAATTGTCTTCATCTTTCCTTGAAGCTAATAAGCATGCATTTTCTGACGGATAATGAAAGTAGCGTATTGACTTCCCATCATGCTGTCTACTTAAATCATATTTTGTAGATCACCTGTTGTAGCAACTCGTGGTAAAATTCAACCATCAACTGTCACATAATGTGGTTTACAAAATATAAGTCGAAAATGATAATCTCCCCAATTTTCTTCAAATTCCTCGCTAATAATGGTTGTGTTTTAAGTGAATCTTTGTAGCTCAATCATCGTCTTGTTGGCACGACATGCTAACCCCTTCGGTTGGAGATGGAGATAGAAGAAGAGTGCAATAATTTTACGTTATGGTGGACAAGCATTACGGAATATGGATAGAGGTGTTCTAGCTACTGTTACTTGTAAGAAGATGAAATTTCATCAATATTTATAAAAGTGAACGTATTGTTGCTCCTTCAATATTAAGATGGGGAGTTTGATTTATACTTTGAATGCAAGTTTCTTACACACCGGCCACGCGCAAAGAAGAACGCGACAGATTTAGACACTAATGTATTGGGTCCTGCAGTGACATAGTTGAAGTAATAAGCATAGGATGAAGCAACAATGGATAGAATAAATCTGCTGCGTTAGTAATCTGGAGTTAATCCGGTCAGTCTTATTTGCTTTCAAGATCGTCAATCTGACAAGCATGATCCAGAGTAGCAAGAAATCAAGGAAGCGGTATCAAATATACATCTACGAAGATCAGCTGTCGAACGTAACAAAATATTATGGTCATTGCGTATGACAAAAGAAAATGCACAAACATGTTCGAAAGTAGCAACAGAACAAATTAACCAAGAAGAAAAAGAAGATACTTTAAGTCAGCTCCGCCTTTAGGTAATCTCTAACGTAAAGATCAAGCAGAGATTACGGTCTTAGACCCAGAAGCAAAAGAAAAAGAAGAGAAGTAATGTCATAGAGCACGCAAATGATAAATACAGATTAACACAACGCAACTTAAACTCGATAAAATGTGAATTTCTTGAAGTGAAAGATAGATTTGGGGCTCCATACCTTCGGATTTTCGACTTCATTCTAGAGCCAGCCTTGTTTCTTTGCTTTACTTAAAATATCACTAAAGTGCAAGTTTTCATCTGTGTTATTTTAAAATAAAATATCCTACATGCTGTCTATAGTTTGGACGACACAGAGTGTACAGAAAACTCCTGAGTTGCCAATATCCTACATGCTGTAGCTTGTTCTTACAAGGTAAGGAAGCTCAAGAAATATAGGAACACTAAACTACCACATTACAAGTAATCCACGTTCCCGACCTTCAGAGTCTCAGGTGCTGCATAACTATAAAGCCAGACAACAAGCATTTGAAGCTTAACAATAAAATGACCTCCTCCATATGTGTAAGCTTAACAAAAAGGCAAAATCCTGCACTCAACTTCCTAGATCTCTAGGCTCAAATAAACATCAAAACTAAATCATTTGAATCAGGTAACAGGTGAACAGGTAGAATAAAGGCCTCATCAATCCTAGCATACATTCATCGGTAACACACACGGACGCAAGCATAAATTCAAGGGGGAAGAAACGATGATATGAAACCTGAGCCATTATTAAAACTTGATAGCTGTACAACAAACCAAAGCAAAATCACAAATTTTACCAGGCCAAAAAATAAGACGCCTAAAGCAGACCAAGTAAAAATTATATTCAATCCTTCTTTTCACCACCCTTTTTCTTTTTAGCTGTAGCCTGCGAATACAAGAAAGTCCCAAAAATTGCAACGGCGGATCCAAGTGCGTTAAGAGGTCTAACTGGATTTCTGAACACCAACACAGTCGATATTATTACCACCACTCTCTTCATTGTGTTTCCAACTGAAAAGGTCAAGGGGCTAATTTCATCAAGAGCTTGATACGATGATTGGTTATAGAGATGGTAAAACACTCCAGATAGCAACACCCATAGGTACAATGTGGATGGTTTTCCTACAGCTGCAAGAGCTTTGTGATATCCTTGAACCCATTGAGACCCTTCAAGGAAAATAGCGGCGGGAAACAGATAGAAGAACGAAATTATACTGATCCAACCATACAAGTTCAACCCATCTACTTCCTTGAACTTCTGTAAACTACGTTTCGAGTAAATGTTCCTCAACACGAACCCGACATTGCTAATCAAAGCACCCCAAAGGCCTTGCACATTGAATGACACCTCAGTAATAGCAGCAAGAGCACAACCCATAACAATAGGGAGGATTGAAAGCCAGACCTGTAAAGGGTACGAATCGCCTAGGAACGACGAAAACACTACTGAAAAAACAGGCTCGGACGATTTGATTACATGGGTGAAAGAAACAGCCACCTTAGAGAACGAGACACATGCTGAAATGTGGCCTATAGTGTGGAACAATGCAGGTCCAAGGAGTGCAACAATGAATGGTTTAGAAATTTTCGGGCGGGGTTGAAGTTTCAAAGACCAAAGAATGAACATCCAAACAGACCCAGCAAAGAGCTGAAAAGATCCAAGAAGCCATGGATATGGAAAGACATTCAGTACCTTCTTGTTGTAGACGTTGAAGACAATGTTCTGGAAGTACCATAGCCCAAAAATAAGCGCGAGCTGGGCGGTGGTGGCCTTGGGCTTTGCGACTGCAGCTTCAGTTTCCCCTCCTGCATTGGATTCAGAAGCAGCTTTTGGGATTTGGGACCTGGGTTTTCTCCCAAACCCAGATGGGAATTCACAGGCTTCGCTCCAATGGCTGATCTTTGAGCTCGAATCTCGAATATGGCCCATGGGTTTTGTTTCTTTTGAAGAAATTCCAAATGGGTAGCCATAGATTCTGGTAAAGCTTGAGAATTTGGAGAATTTGGGGGTTGTTTGGGGTCTGAGAGAGGTGGGTTTTTGGTGCAGAGGATATGATTGCGTTTGGATTCGAGTGAGAAGTGAACAGGAGGAGGGGGGGGGGGAAGGGGATGAGGGGGCATTAATAGAGGGGAGTTGACGGCGGGATTTGGAGAAAGTGACAGGGGAAGGACAACTGATATTCAAGGTAAGCATTTGGTGTTGTGGCAATTGGCTGTGGCTGTGGTTCTGGTTGTGGTTGGGGAGAGAGAGAATAGAGAGGAGAGAGAGAGAGAGGGACAGAGATTCTGCAAGTACATTATAAATGCGCAGGGTTTGGAGATTTGAGGAGGACACGAGTCCTTCCTAATCCTCTGGTTTTGATTTTATAAATTCCTTTTCAGTTTGGTTGGCATATGCTGCGTAAGATATTTTGTTGGGGCAGAGGGCACTTTGCGAGAATGGGCCCGAGCCTAGAAATCAGGCTCTTCGGTAGGCCGCCGAGTTTGGCTCTTGACCGACTTTATGGAATGAAAATGTCAAATAATTATACCTCAAGTGAGTTCTGCATTTTACAATCGACAATTCCTCACAGAGTACAATTTTGACCGCACATTGCCAAGATGTAGCTCAAGGTCTGGGCCTTGCGAACCCAATATGGGGCTCGTACCTCCTAAAGACGAATGCGGCAAACTAAAAAAGTGAGTCAAAAACACTAAATTACAACTTTCTACTTTTTTTGTGAAACTTTATATAGTTATTTGTAGATTTTTTTTCTTTTCTTTCTTATGCGTTTCTTCTCATATTTCTTATGTGCGACCCTATTCACATCAATTGTTTGATAAAATCCGTTCCTTGACAGGTATTGAATATAAGCGCTTTTACTGGAAGTTCTTTTGATTAAAAAAATGGTTTAGAGGCAATTCCAAATGAGCCCATAATTTTTACGGAAAATGCTTGGGAACCACATTTTTGTACCACATTGTTGTACCAACTAATGTGGTAAGTGATTTATACATGTCTTGTCATTTAATGAGTTTAGGCTTTTTAGCCAAAATGGTCATTGAGATTAGCATAACTCATCACTTTGATTCCTAAAATTTAAAATTAATCAATATCAATCCTAAACCGAAATTTAGGTATTCCCAACTTTCAGGATTCCCAAAATGCTTTTGGTATTTCGAGATGGATTGAGATTTGATTTTCGGTGTTGGACTTTTGGATTTTTGGGTTAAAATTTGAGATTTTTGGGCTATGGGTTAAAGTTTGGGCTTTTGGCCTAAAATTATGTTCCTTAATTTCATATAAATTGAAAGTTAGGTTTTTTACCTCATACTAATTTGAAATTTCATACCAATTGAAATACCAATTTATTAATATCAAGTCAAATTGATGTTGTAAAGTTTGATACTACTTAATTTCATACTTCTATTTCTAATATAGTCTACTACCAAACTACTTAAATTCAACATTCAACATGTATGCAACCAAAATAAATATATATATTTTTTCGGTTCGGTTCGGGATTCCCAAACCATTTAATATGTAATCCCAATTTCCGTATTGAAAGCTTCGGGATCGATTCGGTATGGATCCCAAAAATTTCGGTATTATCAATTTGAGAATTTTTCGGTATGGGATCGGGAATTTTTTTATTTGGTTTAAGATTTTTGGAAAATTTTTCCAGCCCTACATCATAGGAGCCGATTCAAACTTTGCTAATACTATCAAATCTACATCCAAAAAATTCAGATAAAAAATCATGTCTCCATCTTATATTTGCTATCCATTTCCTTTCTAGCTAGGTCAATATCCTTGAAACTTCCATGAAATTTATTCTCATCGCATTATTAATGATAACTTTGAATTTCAACTCCATAACCAGACGAAAAATTTTGCTATACAATTCTTCGAAATTGCCATTGAGGTCAACATCAGTGAAACTTCCATGAAATTTACTCTCATCAAATTATCAATAATGACTTTGAATTTAAACTCCATAAACAAAATAAAAAATTTGCTATACAATTCTTCGAAATTGCCGTTGAGGCCAACATCAGCGAAACTTCCATGAAATTTACTCTCATCAAATTATCAACGATGACTTTGAATTTAAATTCCATAAACAAAAGAAAAAATTTGCTATACAATTCTTCGAAATTGCCGTTGAGGCCAACATCAGTGAAACTTCCATAAAATTTATTCTCATCAAATTATCAATGATGACTTTGAATTTCAACTCCATAACCAAAAGAAAAAAATTTGCTATACAATTCTTCGAAATTGCCATTGAGGTAAATTGACACACTCCAACCCAAAATGTTTACCTAAACTCTGAGTCGAGTTGTGCTGGCTGACATCGGGAAAGTGACAAAGCCAAAAAGTGTAGTGATGTGGAAAATATGGATAAATTTAAACCTTAAAGTGACTAAATGCAAGACTCTGCATGTGAGCGGGATCGAACCCAATTCACACGTGTTGTCATTCTATATGTAATATAGTGTATATATATTTGGAAACTATACTTGTTTTGCGGCGATGGGTTATTACGTTTTCGAAAAAAGTTTTACAAAGCTTTATTTTCAGGCCCACTCATCCTTATTTTTTGTTCCTCTAGGTTTTAGTGGCAAAACTTTCATGTTGTCGAGGATTCTTGGCAAATGTTGATATATATATATATATATATATATATATATATATATATATATGAGAGTACCTTTGATGGTATAATTCTTATTTCACTTTTGCTGTACTTTACTTATGCTCTGACATCACTTGTGAATTGGGTTTAATCCCGCTCACATGCGCTTTCTTGCATTTAGTCACTTTTAAGTTTAAATTTATTCATATTTTCCACATTACCACACTTTTTGGCTTTGTCACATTTCGAGTGTTACCAGCACAGCTCGACTCGAAGTCCAAATGAACATTCCGGATTGAGGTGTATCATCAACATTTCATGAAATTTATTCTCATCAAATGATCAATGATGACTTTGAATTTCAACTCCACAACCGAAACAAAAAAAATTTGCTATACAGTTCTTCGAAATTGCCATTGAGGTCAACATGAGTGAAACTTTTATGAAATTTATTGTCATTGAAATTATCAATGATGACTTTGAATTTCAACTCCATAACCAAAAGAAAAATTTTGCTATAAAATTCTTTGAAATTGCCGTTGAGGCCAAACTTAGTGAAACTTCCATGAAATTTATTCTCTTCAAATATCATTGATGACTTTGAATTTCAACTCCATAACCAAAATATAAAATTTGCTATACATTTCTTCGAAATTGCCGTTGAGGCCAACATCAACGAGACTTCCATGAAATTTATTCTCATCAAATTATCAATGATGACCTTGAATTTCAACTCCATAACGAAAAGAAAAAAATTGTTGTACAATTCTTCGAAACTGCCATTGAGGTCAACATTAGTGAAACTTATATGAAGTTTATTCTCATCAAATAATCCCATGATAACTTTGAATTTCAACTCCATAATCAAAAGAAAAGTTTTTCTGTACAATTCTTCGAAATTGCCATTGAGCTCACATTACGTATTGAGATGTGATGCTAGAAAGCATAAATTGTAGTTGACTGAGAGTTTACAGTTGTCAAATGTCACTCGGGTCAAGTTGAAGGTAATAATTTTTTGTTTTTAAATTGAGTAATCAAAATTTATTTGCTCAGTGTAGAAGTTTACAGAATTAAGAAAGAGAGAGAGAGAGAGATTGAGAAAGATTGTTAAAATAATGATTCTCATTAACTTTATCTGTAGGGTACCATGGATATATATGTATCCATAAAATATCAAATGCTGAGTCATCATCAATACTTTAGCTTAACAACTGAGCTAAGTGTAAGTGCTAATCTAGTGCCTTATGCTCATTATATTCTGGTGGTCCTTCACTATCCATAATACTCAGGATGTGATTGTTAAAAAACGCAATCTCACGTTTGAAACTTAAAAAAATAATAATTATTACAACTCATAATAAATAATTTTATCTTGGAATTAGATATCTGTGATCCAAACTTGTATTGCATGGTTCAATGAAGAGCTACACTTTATTGTAAAAAAAAAAAAAAAAAAAAAGGATTCTCTGCACACCTAGAGAAACTACAACAGCACGAGAAATTTGTAATGGAATTTTAAGATAAAGCATCTTAAATCATGTTTTCTGAAATTTGAACAAAAACTACTAGAGAGTAATTTAGAAGCTCTGTATAAATATAACTACAGCCATGCCATTAGGAGCTCATTTCTCTTCCGCATATTTAGAATTCGTAGCGGTTTTGTTATCATAAGAGCAAGATATAAGGAGTGTGAATGGAGATAAATCTTTTATAATTTGTTCATAAATTTTAGTTAGCAGCTTATTGAGAGAGTCTATTATAGATACTTTTAGTATAACAACGATACATAGATGCTAGTGAGTAACAAGTAATTTTAGTTATTAGCAAATTTAAGAGAAAAGAAGTTTTAAAGTCTGATATTTATTTTAGTGACTGAAAAAAATGGCGAGACTACGAGCCTACTTGAGATTGTTTCTCGAAAGCCTAAAAGCTTTTTCATAAAACACTTTGATATAAGGTCAATAAAAAAAAGAAATTAGAAAACTGAAAAGAAGAAAAAAATGGTCGTAACTTCGATGTTTTACTAAAAAGAAGAATGAATATATATAACCTAAAAACTACACTCCTTTAAATAGATAAACCCTATATATTACATAAAATATTAAACATCCAACGATATAAGATAAACCTAATATTTAACTTTCTTAATATGACAGCACTTGACCTCTTATATCAAATTTTATGAGTGGTAGTTGTACAACTCTAGAACGCTTTCATTTCATACAAAGTATAGTTGTATTCAGTCAATTCGAAGTAGACCGGAAAGGATTAGCAGGTACGGTTAGATTGTCACCTTCTCCTTCTAACATTTGAATAACAACTTTCACGGGAGGGCGATCTATGGGGTGCCATTGGACGCACCATAGACCCACAATAGCTAGCTTCTTTGCAGTTTTAGCATCTCCTCCGTCCTCAATGTGAATCCGTAGAAGTTTACAGAATTAAGAGAGAGAGAGAGAGAGATTGAAAAAGATTGTTAAAATAATGATTCTCATTAACTTTATCTGCAGGGTACAATGGATATATATGTATCCATAAAATATCTAATCAAATGCTGAGTTATCATTAATACTTTAGCTTAACAGGTATGCTAAGTGTAAGTGCTAATCTAGTGTCTTATGCTCATTATATTCTGATGGTCCTTCACTATCCATAATACTCAGGATGTGATTGTTAAAAAAATGCAATCTCACGTCTGAAACTTAAAAAAATAATAATTATTACAACTCATAATAAATAATTTTATCTTGGAATTAGATATCTGTGATCCAAACCTGTATTGCATGGTTCAATGAAGAGCTAGACTTTATTGTAAAAAAAAAAAAGATTCTCTGCACGCCTAGAGAAACTACAACAACACGAGAAATTTGTAATGGAATTTTAAGATAAAGCATCTTAAATCATGTTTTCTGAAATTTGAACAAAAACTACTAGAGAGTAATTTAGAAGCTCTGTATAAATATAACTACAGCCATGCCATTAGGAGCTCATTTCTCTTCCGCATATTTAGAATTCGTAGCGGTTTTGTTATCATAAGAGCAAGATATAAGGAGTGTGAATGGAGATAAATCTTTTATAATTTGTTCATAAATTTTAGTTAGCAGCTTATTTAGAGAGTCTATTATAGATACTTTTAGTATAACAACGATACATAGATGCTAGTGAGTAACAAGTAATTTTAGTTATTAGCAAATTTAAGAGAAAAGAAGTTTCAAAGTCTGATATTTATTTTAGTGACTGAAAAAAATGACGAGACTACGAGCTTACTTGAGATTGTTTCTCGAAAGCCTAAAAGCTTTTTCATAAAACACTTTGATATAAGGTCAATAAAGAAAAGAAATTACAAAACTGAAAAGAAGAAAAAAATGGTCGTAACTTCGATGTTTTACTGAAAAGAAGAATGAATATATATATATATATATATATATATATATATATATATAACATAAAAATTACTCTCCTTTAAATAGATAAACCCTATATATTACATAAAATATTAAACATCCAACGATATAAGATAAACCTAATATTTAACTTTCTTAATATGACAACACTTGACCTCTCATATCAAATTTTATGAGTGGTAGTTGTACAACTCTAGAACGCTTTCATTTCATACAAAGTATAGTTGTATTCAGTCAATTCGAAGTAGACCGGAAAGGATTAGCAGGTACGGTTAGATTGTCACCTTCTCCTTCTAACATTTGAATAACAACTTTCATGGAAGGGCGATCTATGGGGTGCCATTGGACACACCATAGACCCACAATAGCTAGCTTCTTTGCAGTTTCAGCATCTCCTCCGTCCTCAATGTGAATCCGTAGGTCGTCCCCTTGTTCTAAAAGGTTGTAAATCCATTCTGGGAAGTAGACTTGGCTGCTGGTGGAGTCCTCTTCCATGAACTTAAAGTTCTTTCTTCCCCCGACCATTTCCAGCAGCAACATTCCAAAGCTATAGACATCTGCCTTGTAGGACACGTTTCCAAAGTTCCTAGAGAACACTTCGGGCGCAATGTAGCCAATGGTCCCTCTGATGGTAGTCATGGATACTGCGCTTTGATCTTTAGAGCACAACTTGGCGAGACCAAAATCGGAAACCTTTGGGGTGAAATTCTGGTCTAGCAAAATGTTGTGTGGTTTGATATCGAAATGGAGGATTCGGAGGTCACACCCTTGATGAAGATATTCAATTCCCTTGGCTATACCTAAAGCAATCTCATGCACCTTATCCCAACCAAGGAAAGCGCTTTTACTATCTGCTGATGATAAGATATTCTGTAGTGAACCATTTGGTAGATATTCATACACAAGAGCTGTTGTGTACCCATCAGCACAAAACCCAACCAAGCGAACCACATTGATATGGTGGACTCGACCCATTGTTCCGACTTCATTGATAAGATCTTCTCCTTTTTCATTAGAATTGTTGAGGATTTTCACAGCCACAAGTAAGTCGGAGGAAAGCTGTCCTTTGTACACTGTTCCATAGGCTCCTTGACCTAACTTTTCATTGAATTGATTTGTTATCCTTTTAATATCAGCGTAGGAATATCTACTTGGCTTGTGTGCTATGTAATCGTCCAAAAATCTTTCAATCCTCAACTGATTTGTTTTCTCTATTTTGTTGGAGCTGTAAACACGGTAAATGAGAGTCCCCGCGACTGTTACAACCACAGAAAGTGTGAAAATACCTGCGGATACAGACCAAACTCTTCGTTAAAAACCAACTCATTTCTAAATTAAATTAAAATAAATCACAATTGCCTCCAATTGATAAAGCCCCCAGAAATCAGAATTGAATTTATATTAATACTTATACATATATAGGGTTCTTTTGTGCGGAAGTTAATGTGTCTTTTATCCGGATGCTGGCACTGAGTTTTGAACTCGTAAGGTTTTCTTGTACCTTAAAAGAAGAACCCTTTCAAGGATGGGATCCAAAACTTGAAAAACAAGTGATGAAAATTGGTGCCTGTTGAAGCAAGTTCCGAATAGCACCCTAAAATATAACACTCGCATGAGGTTCAATAATCCAAACCGTCTTAGATTTAGCTCTCCATCTAAGAATATTTATGATTATGGATCGCACAAGTGTGCAAAAATTAACCTAGCTAACTCTTAACAGTTCAAATTCAATCTTGTAAAAATAGTGCTTATGTGAACAACTTACCAGATATCTCTAAGCTTGTCCTTCCACGGGTACTATCTGTAAAAGCAGGTCCATTAAGTCAATAATTAGTACTTTTGTTATCAAAAGAATAAAATACTTGAAGAATTGTTTGCATAAATCTTTGTTTTCATTTAATATAAAAAGTTCGAATATATTCTTTGAGTCCAAATTTGTTGCATATATTATCTGCACAAACTAGCTAATTAAAACCTTGTCAATGTGAAAATGAGGGAAATATTTGCCGGCAAAGTACTGCAACAAGTCAAGTTAAATGGGAGATTAAAGGATACCTTCGCTCACGCATTCAGTTTCTGCAGTCTGATTATCTGTGAAATTATATTGACCAATAGTTCTCTTCAGTATGCAAGTCTTGCCCATCTCTTCGCAACTTCCACATGATGGTTTGGACCACTGCAGCATCATAGGTCCGGATGCTCTCACTGATGAAATATCTGGAACTGATGTGTAGTCACGCAGCTTGGTACAAGACACTAGGTTCATATCATCAATGAAACACTGGCCCCCGACGGCATAGTAGTTAGTTTGGTTTTCAGGATTGTCAAGGCCGGAAGGGCACAGTTTGATAAGACAATATCCGCCTGTTTCAAGTAGTGGTGACGGACAACTGAATAAAGTATAATTAGTATCAAACGGTCCATGCACAAATTGAAAGATTGAGGAAGATAAGTTGAAATTGAAAATATCTTTAGGCGGGCAATCATTTTGGAAATATACTCCGATTTCTTGAGAAGCGTAGTTAATCGTTTCAACGATGAGCTTGTTAGATGAGGATGGCATCTCAAGCACGGTTTGCCTGCCGTTGGTGCATGATAGATCAAAGCCATGGTAACCGCACTGGAATGGCTGTCCTTTAAGTCGAAATGGGAATCGGATGGCTGGACCGGGGTGTTCACAGTAACTTACTTCTGCGCAGTTTTCAGGGACTACTCTGTCGCCATACACTTTGCTTACAATACCAGCATCTGCTATCATGAGAAACCAGCACAAGAAATTGATCAGAAGCATTCTATCCAATGAGAATATTGATTGTAGAAGTTTGGTATCTTGGTAATTCATATATATGATTGTATATAAGATAATGGGATTGCAGAAGTCCCCTATATTTTGGGTAAATAATAATCTATTTTTATATTCACCCCTTCGTTCCATTTCCTACCCCAAAAACGTTTTTCTAATAAATCTTCCACCAATTTTGTTTTTAACTTCAATTTGAAGGACTTGGTCGTGATTTGCTTATGGGTTATTGACCATCGGTATCAAATAAAAAATTTGAGTCGCTTTTATTTTACTGTTACTCGCTATAACGAGAAACTGGAATGCTGGAGGAAACTGTTTCTTCCCCAGATGGGCCAGATCAACCCATTATTATACATGTTATTCTGAGTTAGATGAGGTGGGTTTTGTGGTCGTGTGGCTTCAATATTGGTCATTCTACATTGAGTAATGCTAGGTAGATTAAATTTATAGATTAAATTTGTAAACTAAATAATGTTTCATCAATAAAAAAATAAGCACGTTAATCAACACTTTAGTGATAATCCAATTATCAACTTCCATATTATTGAATTTACAAAATTTATTCTATAAATTTAGTCTTCCTAGCATTACCTTTCTAGAATTTGGAGTTGTCAACATAGTTTGGCTGTGCAAATTTGTTCTCTTTGGTTTAGTCTTGGTTGTTGTTGTTGTTGGAATTAGTATTGATGAGACTCGTGTTTTGCATTCGAAGTTTTTGCAATAACTATGGTTGTTATGTTGAAAAAAATTGTTTATTAAAGTGTATGTACATTTCTGGCCTTTGAACAATAGAAAATGATAATACTTGGATACTTCCCAGGAATTATCTAATTTACTGACCATCTTTCATGGCCCAATGAATTTAAAACACCTAGCATTGTAACTCTCTTCTTGTATTTTTCTATCTCTGTAACCAAACATATTTTGTGCCTGAGACCAAACACGTCTCTTCTTCTCCATCTTCTTTCCTTGCCCAGCCCAATCGTTCTCCTTCTCCGGCGACCATCTCCATGCCTATCAGGATCACGAGTGTACTAATTGGGTCACAAGTGTACCCACCGGGTATAATACTTATTGGGCCACTTATAAGAGTGAGTAAACAATACTTGGGACCTGACCTATCAGGACCGCAAGTGTACTGACCACTGACATGGTCCAATAATATAAAGATATCTGTAATTTTAAAACACCACTATTCTAGTAACCAAACACCATTTAAGTCCATAACCAAACACCATCCTAAACTCATATCATAACCCATAACCAACCTCCAGATTTCCTCCTCAGTCGTCGTCGACCGATACCCCACCTTTTCACCGCCTTCCCTTCCCAGCATCTCTCTCTCATCAAAGTCTGCAATTCTTTTGAACTTCAAAGTTCCAAACCGCTTGTCTTCCTTCCACAACCTCCAATTTCGCGGATTTCCATAACCCAATTTTACCGAGCTCAGATCTGGACGCCGGCGAGGGATTGAAACTGACGTCGCCGGAGAAAAGAGGGATTGGGAGTGGTCGGGAATGAGAGTAGGTCGCCGGAGAAGTAACGGAGTGCGGGGGTTGCTGGAGAAAGAAGGGTTGAGGAAGACGGCAGGGTGATTGGTTACAAGAATAAGCAAGTGTTTGATTGAGTTTCACTTGACAGGTGGAATAATTTTATTGGACCACATAAGTCGCCACCTTGTCAGTATTACCCTAGTTTTACTCGTCTCGTGGGTTTGTCTTTGTTTGGTTTGTCATAAATAATGGGCTCCAAGCGGCCAATTTATATCTGAATTCGCCCCCTTCTTGCCATAAGCCAAAAACCCTTGCTCCCATTAAGCTTTTTTGCCCTCTTCCATAATTTTGATACATTTATATTCTCTTTTACCATGTGTAGAGGAAGTCTCTTACTAGTTCCATATGGAGCCCTTCTTCTACTCTTTCTTCTTCCCTTTATTTGTTCCCAAACATCGATACCTGAAAATAATTCTGATTGTACTCTTTCTTGTGGCAATATTGGCATAAGCTCTCCATTTCGGTTAAAAGGAGACCCTCAACACTGCGGCAACCGTAAGTACGAGCTAGCTTGTGAGGAAAATGTTACGGTCCTGTACTTGTATAACCGAAAGTTTTACGCCAAGGCGATCAATTACAATAACTTTACAATCCGTCTTGTGGATGCTGCTGTTCAAAAGAAAGATAACTACCACTCCATCCCGCATTACTCCTTAACCTCATCCAACTTTAGTGATGGGGATCCTTACAGCAATTATCGATTCCGACTGAGGTGGAGTTCAAATATAAAGGTCATATGGAAAAGTTACACGACACTCCGACGTATCCGGAGTTCAAATATAAAGGTCATAAGGAAAAGTTACACGACACGGCCTATAATTTTTATGGACTGTCCAAAACCAATGCATTCTCCTGGCCTTGTAGAAACAGCTCCATGCGTCAAGGACGGCACCTACTCTTCCAATTCTTCTTTGTCCAATGGTTTAAGAATGTTTTCTTATTCCATCCTTGGCTGGAATCGCTCCATAAGTTCATTGGATTTGGGGGAGTCCTGTGAAATAACGCAGATGCTTATGGTCTCACCTTCGTTATCCGTAGAAGACATGCATGAACACTTGACGTCCTGTGAAGGCATATATAGTGAAATAGCGCATGGCTTCGAGCTTTCATGGTTTCACCAGGCTTGTAGCACCTCAATCTGCAAAGGGTATATGTGTGTGCTCAACAACCTGAGCGAAATTGAGTGCCTTCGCTACGAAGGTAGCTAGCATTCTCCTATGATATTAATTTTCACCCTTTTTTTTCTCTTAATAGTAAATAATATATGATCCTTTAGAGGAAAAATAATATATATGATCCTTAATGATAATTCTTCTTCTTTTGCAATGCAGAACATTGGTACAACAAGATCTTAAAGCCCATAGGCAAGTGGTTTACTCTCTAACGCAGCTTCTATATAATACATGTGTAGTTAGTTTCTTTATTTGTGGTCACCTTGATGTTTATTAAACTTAAATTACATTTGGAAACTATGATCGATATTCATCGCTTTGCTGCAGAAATGGTTTTGTACCAGATGTATATGTCCATCCGCTATGGTCAGTTTACCCCTACGTACTATTCGAGGTATTATTACCCCCATCACGCGCGTCCGATAACTGTGGCCTCTCTCCTAGGTAGTGTGAACTACTCGTACTCAGCTATCATGCAACTTTTTCCAGCTTCAGATAATAATCATTCAAAAATGAATGTTTGATGATCACTTTGTTTTTGTTTTCATTCTTATTATTATGTAGTTAAGGGTTGCTGGGGAATATGGAAGAATATATATGAGAAAGATGTGAAAAGGACAGGGAGGATCGAGGTGGATAGAGAAACGGTTATTGTCTTTGAAACGATCTCAAAGAGTTTTCCAATAATGTTTTGTTTCTTAAATTCTCCATTTCTCCATCATCCCCCGGCCCCATCCCCATATCTTCTTTCTACAATTTCCCCTCGCCTTTTTTTCCTCTCTCTTTTTAGATTAAAAATTAAAACTAAAGGATTACCAAACAGTTGCTTAATTAATGAAAAATATTGTTGCACTAAAGGAACAAGTTTGATGATATTACAGCAATCAATCTATTTGGTGACTCCAATGTTTTTGAAACGTGCAGGACTATTCCAAGTAGTCAAATTTTTATTTGGCTTTCCCTGTTTAATTGCATTAATAATATACAAATGCAAAAGGAGGCACTTGTCCATGTATGAAAATATAGAAGACTTTCTGCAGAATAATCAGCTCATGCCAGTAAGGTACTCTTACTCGGACATAAAAAAGATGGCCAGAGGTTTTAAGGACAAGTTAGGGGAAGGTGGCTTTGGTTCTGTGTACAAGGCCAAGCTTCGCAGTGGCCGTCTTGTAGCCATCAAGATGTTGGGCAAGTCGAAAGCCAACGGGCAGGATTTTATCAATGAAGTTGCTACCATCGGAAGGATTCACCATGTTAACGTGGTGCAACTTGTTGGTTTTTGTGTGGAGGGTTCAAAGCGTGCTCTTGTATATGACTTCATGCCTAATGGGTCTCTTGATAAGCACATATTTTCTCAACAAGGAGTTATCTCCTTAAGTTGCGAGAAAATGTTTGAAATCTCACTTGGAGTGGCTCGTGGTATTGAATATTTGCATCGAGGATGTGACATGCAAATTTTGCACTTCGACATCAAGCCTCACAACATTCTTCTCGATGAGAACTTTCTTCCGAAGGTTTCAGATTTTGGGTTAGCAAGGCTATGCCCATTGGATAATAGCATTGTGTCTTTGACTGCAGCGAGAGGAACCATCGGATACATGGCTCCAGAGTTATTCTACAAAAACATTGGAGGTGTTTCGTACAAAGCTGATGTCTATAGTTTTGGGATGCTACTGATGGAAATGGCTGGAAAAAGAAAGAACTTAAACGCAAATATAGAACACTCGAGCCAAATATACTTTCCGACGTGGGTTTTCAACCAGCTGAGTGAAGGAAATGACCTTACAATCGGAGACGCCACAGAGGAGGAAAAGAAAATCATTAAGAAGATGATCATTGTGGCATCGTGGTGCATACAAATGAAGCCTAGCGACCGTCCTTCTATGAATAAAGTTGTAGAGATGCTTGAAGGAGAAATTGAGAGCCTTCAAATGCCGCCAAAGCTTTTCTTATACCCACAACGAGTGCCAGAGGTGGTTACTGGCGGCAGTTCAAGTACCGCATCAGCTGCATCGAGGACAACGACAACATCTACAGAAATTGTTTTGATTGCAGATGAAAATTCAGAGAGTTAATATAGCTAGTAGCAATGTTGATGTGCAAAGGAACGTTTAGTGTACCCAATAAGCACAAATAGACTACTTGAATTTAATGGCATTTGCTTTCTGGTTTTCAGTTTTTAGCTTTGGCACGTACAAGGATTAATTCATGCACAAATCGTCTCTCGATTAGTATGGAAATGCTTTGGATATATAATTTGTGTATGAGCAAAGTTTGATATCTATATATTATGCTTTTGTGACCGTCCAGAATCCAGATCCTAATTCCATGCGCGGTGAAAAGTGCAGCCATTATTCAAAGTCTAATTTATTGTTTTTGCCATACTTGTTGCTGGATCAAGCATTGCATCCAAGGTTGTGTGTTCAATTCCCTTCCCTCGATATCGCTTGTAAAAAAATGACAATGTTTTTAGACACAAAAGAAGTGAAACATGTGTCGAAAGAAACTTGGGCTACCACAAGTGATATCGAGGGATTTTAGACACAAGTGAATAGGGAAAACTAGACTAGAAATGCAGGGCACATGTGTCGAAAGATTAACAACGAACATAAACCTTTGTAAACTACAAGTAGCATTTATACTTTTGGCCCAATATAACTAAAGAAACCACTTCGAGCTTGAAGGTATTGCAAGTGAGGCAGGAGGTCAAAACCTCTAAGCACCCAAGATAAGCTGATTCACTAAGAATTCCTACAAATCGTATTACCCCCAAAACCGCTCAATTGGCCTCCTTCCATTTAAGCTAATTTAATCTACAGTAGTTTGTATATAACCGAGAAAATTTCACAAGCTCAAACTAAATTGCCTACATGCTTTCAAACACTATCACGAAAAACTGGCAACGATTAGAGCTCCCATTTGCTAAACTTCTGTAATCTTAAGGATCTTCGGATTCTTCATCCTTATCTTCTGCATTGTCCCGCCACCTAACTGGCCCAGACCATCATAATCAATTGTTCCCTACAAAATACAAAACTTTGCTTGGAGGATCATAGAATTCATCGCAATCAACTAGCCTAAAGACACCCCAAGTTAATTTGAACAAAGATTTAGAGCACTGTGACGATAAAAATTAGAGTTACTCTTTACGAAGGAATTAGCACGTGTTTTAACAAAAGCAAAAGTTTCACAAAGCAGCATTTTTACAATTGTTCATTGCCTTTGGAAAATTGAAAAGTAAAGAACACGATCAAGTGATGCTACATCTAGATGCACATCCAGTCATATGATAAAGTTCAGAGCAAAAACTTACAGTAACCACCATAGGAGCAAATGGTTTCACGTCTTCTGGCTGTTCAACTGGAATTGGTGGATAGTTCGCACTTTGAACTAGGATTCTTGACTGCTATTCAGAACTAAATGTTTGCATACACGTAGACACAAGAAAGTTGAGTAGCTGTGGATAAATTAAACCGTAAAGATATGTACCTCATCTGTCCACTCAAGAGCAAGATCATCTGCATCAGGACACTTCCCTATCCCTGTATTCCACAGTATATCAAAACCACATATTCAACAGTAATTCAAACAATGGACATATGAACAAGAATCCATCAAGGAAGACATAGAAGGGGCGGTCCTCAGGCACGAGATGGATGGAGATGGCAAAAGATGTACTGGTACATAAATGTCATAAAAAATCCAAGGGACACTGCCAGTTAAAGATTGAAAATCACACCATGGACATGGAGTAGGAGTTTGTCAATGCATTGCTGCACATGGTGCATGTGTAGTGAGAATTACTTGCACCAAAGACAACCTAAGAAGTAAATGAAACCCACGAATAGATCATTATATATAAACATAAGATCATTAGATCACAACTTTTAGTAGTAGCTAATTAAAATGAAGAGTGCAATGAGAATTAAGAGAAAATCCCACCTTCAGCTGCTAAGAGCAAACTAGAATTCATCATCTGGCACAAATCCCCTTTGAAGCATTTCATCATGGAACCGAAATGCCTCCTTCAAGGAATATGTGATTGGAAGAATGCGATCTAAAGAAGTTAGATTCATGAGACCATTCTTTCGTTGACACATCCTAAACGTTCCTGATCATAGGATTGTCAATTGGGCATTGACAGTCCGTTAAGATCAGTACGTGCTATGTCTTCTCTCAGGGAGAGTGACTAGTCTCGAGTCATTGGTGTGTGTGACATCAAGACAAGTACGTAGGTGCTCAATAGAGAATGAGTTCACTGAACACGATCAACGAAGAGTTCTCATATTCATGTCACATGAGAACTCATGGTTGGGATAATGCAAATTAGTCTTTTGACCTGAGACATCACAGTTGTCTTGTGGTTAGGTCCTTAATCTTTGATTATGTCAAAGTCACTCCATCAGGAGGGTGTCCATGGCATCGTTGGGGTTAAGCCACTTAGCCATGGAGGCAAGTGAATGCGCAACAAGGGATTTCTAACCTTCAAACTGTTTGAGGGAGAATACTCTATGATATGATTAAGAATCTTTGTCCAAAGTATGAATGAGATTTAGGAATGTGTTCCAAATCACATTCAAGGTAATCATATAAGCACAAGACTCACATTGGATAGTAGACATGAATAAACTATCAAACCAAACAATGTGGTCAAGAGTATTGTATTAGAGAAAGACCGTATTGCATTTGTAATCCTAAAACTGAATAGGTTCTCCACCTCTTCTGATTAGCTTGGGTAACCATGACATGCTGCTAGGCGTCAACCATGGTTTGTGGAAGCCCTAAAAGTGTATTATCACTAACGGGAGAATTGAAAGTAAGTTTCAATTCACAATCGATTAGAAAGAGTTTTAATCGCCCACTGCCTCGCTAAAAGGAACCTAATGGATCGTTCACCGAGTAAGGTAGAGTTTGAAGAAACAACGGAGATGAGTAAGAATAATTAAATGGTTTAATTATTTATCTAAGGCTAGGATTAATTAATATGTTAATTAATCAAACAAATAAGTTCGTTAAAGACCTCGGGTTAGTTTTGGGCCGCAAGGCCCAATGGGATTTGAATGTCAAGCCCATTAACTCAAGTTGTATGACAACTTGAATAAACAAAGGGCTTGAAAGCCCAATAAACCCTATAGGCTTGCCATGTTAGAAGAATAGGGTTTTTGGTCCATTAGGTCACTTATTTGAAGGGACTATATAAAGGACTTTATAGCCTAAAATTTACAAATGGTAATTTTTGGGGAAAGGATGAGAACACAAGCTCTCCTTTCTCTCTAAAATTTAGGCCACCTTGGAGGGATCATCTAGCAATCAAACTCCTCCAAGGTCACTCATTTCTTCTTCATTATGCCTTGGTGATGAATCATTAGAGGTTCTCAATTTTGGGAACTTGGAGAAACCTTTTCATCCATCCAAATCCATGGATCTAAGATGCAAGGAATGAAGGCCCTCTCTTTGGGTGATTAGCCTTTGCTTATGCAAAGAGGAATCTACAAAGGTATTGATTTCTCAACTCACTTTGTTTTGAGTTGAGTCTTGGTTCACCTATCTACTAGGCTTTGAATTTCATGGGTAAATGTTTGTTTTTAAGTGCATACAAGCATGATTCCGCCTTTAATTGTTAATTGCATGCTATTGATGTTGCTTAAATGAACATGTTTTTCACAAATCTTCCTTCAAGTGGTATCAAGAGCCTAAGTCTAGTAGTTGGTGAATCCTTTTGGGTTTTGTAGTTCATAGTTTGTGATTTGAATGTTGTAATTGTTACAAGCTTTATTCTTGCTTCTTTGAATGTAAATTTTGTTTGAAAATTTGCCATCTCAAATGTTGTAGATGTAGTTCATATGAGCATGAATTTTGGAGCTAAAATTTGGTGCCATGTTTTTGGGGAAATTCGGCCAAATCCAAAGGGTGGATTTTTGGGTTCTTGTTTGACTTGTTAAAAGTGTTTTAAAGTGACTTTTGGAACCCCTATGTACCCTAGTATGGTTGTATGTTATTTCCCTTAAGTTTGAGTGGTTTTGGTATGTTTTTGGGTGAAGAATGTTCATGGAGCTCTTATGGGTTTTCATGGATGTTCTTCATTGTTCTTGATATGTTCTTGCCAAGAACAAAAGGTTTGGTGTTTTGATTCAAAGTTTTGATTTATTTCATAAAGTTTTTGTTTTGAAATATTTCTTATGTTTAAATGTATTAGATATTTATTTTGAAAAATTAAAGAAATTTTAGTGGGTTGGTGTGTAATGATTTATTCCATTATACACACCCACTTACAAAAAACTTTGAAATTTTTATACACTTTGTTTCAAAGTGGCCACCCTACTCAATTAGGGTCCTTATGGGGCTTTTATGCAATTATATAAAGTTTTGATACTTTTGTGTATTTGCATTTTGACCCAAAAGTTTACGTTTTTACGTAAAGGTCCAAAATCACTAAAAGGACAAATTGTTTTGCTCCTTTAATGAAGTTTTAGTTTTTTGTGGAAATTTTTGGGTTCTAGTTGTAATTACATGAAGTAGTGGACTTTTGTGTTTTTACAAAGTGACCCCAAAAGTTTAAGTTTTTGCAAAATAGCCCAAAAGTTGAGGTTAATTGCACTATGGCCCAAACAAGTTGAGGTCATAGCATTTTGGCCCAAATTAGGTAGAGAACAAAAATTGTTTTGTCTCTTTAAATGAGAATTGGATTTTCATTTCATTTAGCTCCATTTAAATCAATTCTATGGATACAAAAACCAAATGAAAATGTTGCATTCAAGTTTAATTAGTTAAAGCGTTAATTAATTAAAGAAAGGGTGATTATGAACTTAAGCCTACTATAATTGAGCTATGTGAAAGGCCGTTTCAAATTTGTTTGAACCATGGGAATGTGTAGATTAAATTTTGGTTGTAATTTGATATGATCAATTGTTGTAAAAGAGCATAAGCTCTTCTTTACTTTAAAGTAATTTGATTTGATCAATTGTTGTAAAAGAGCATAAGCTCTTATTTACTTTGAAGTACTCATTTCTTGTTTTATTCGATATGCATGAAATTGGAGTAGTTGGGTCCAACGCCCAATAAGACAACACACCTTAATGTGATTAAACGCGTAACTAAAATCAATCACCATCCCTAGACCGAGATTCAACACAAGGCTCGTGTTGGATCTAATCAAAGGTTCATAGTCATCCTAAGGCCCTAAGGCAACTATATAGTCCATCAATGAATGCAAATCTTATGTTAGTAGTACCATATAGTCTTGCTTTAAAAACTGTTTTAAAAGCATAGTGGGAGTATTATATACTACTAAATCAATCATATGGACCAATAGTTGTAATAGGACCAAAATGTTTTAATTGGATTAAAATGTATGTTTATATGTGATGAGACCTAAAAACCCTCAACCAAATCAATATTAAGTTGATAAGCGAGAGATGCTTTGAATATCTCTTCGTGGCCTTCCACCGTGGTAGGCTCCAATCGTTTGTGACTTGTACACCGGCTTCACCCTATCATGGGGGAGTACAAAGTGCATGCTTACACTCAGGAGGAGTCTATACGCATATGATGAGGTGAGTGTAGGCAACGAGGATGACCAATATCATATCATTGTGAGGCTATTCTTGAACCCCTTCATGAACTAAGCATGGTGGGAATAACTTAACTAAGTGCAATGGCGCCGATATCATATCATTGTGAGGCAACATTCTCTAGAGGCCAAATAAGATGAGTAATTACAAACGTTGTAAATGAGTAAAGCGTTATTCTCTCATCATTATTTTTGCTAACCAACATCGTATCATCGTGAGGTGGGCTTGGTAATGGTGAGCCTCCCATACCCTACTAAGAGTTTCCTCCAAAACTCTCGAATTCCGATGAGGGATATGGAATTTGCTAAAAATAGTGGGTGGTGCTATTTTGATTTAAAGACCCGGATCAAATAGCTTAAAATCAATCAATTTATATTCGTTATGTATTTGTTTACCAATATATTTGCAAACGCTATCCAAAACTTGACAAAGAAAAGCCGAATACTTTAATTTCCGGACTTAGTTCTACAATCCCATAGATTGTCTTTAATGGCTTGTAGATGTAACTAAGTAGTCTCATCCTCACAATCTTCCTATTGATAATGTATCATTGGAAGAATATGTTAGATAAGTCTAACATGAGAAGGACAACACTTTTAAATGTCATAATTCTTCAAATACAAATTGTTGTATGAAGAAATAAGAGTTGCTTTGAACAACCCTTAATCAACACAAACTTTAGTGCTTGTCTCTTTGTTACACGAACAAGGAACTTGAGAAGTAAGCACAAGGGCATGGACACTTTATGTGCCATGATTCTTCACTTACAAATTGTTGTATGAAGAAATGAGAGTTGCCTTGAGCAACTCTTGAAAGTTTGTTATTATGTTTAGAACATAATGGTTGGTTGACAAAAATAGTCCATTTATATGGACTTATGATGATTTTGAATCATTGAGTGTTGAAGTGTTAAACCACTTAACGAGACGGAAACTAGGCAAGGACTTCACCTTTGTGTCCCTATCCTAATGGTTCACTAAGTTTATTGTAAACTATATAGTGAACAATAACCGCACGCTCTCCAAATCGTTTGATGTGTATAACACATTTGAAATAAGTTTCAAGAGAGATAGTGGGAGTTTAGGGACCATGACTATTGTAATCAAAAGGAGAAGTCAAATGAAGAAGGCAAAATAACTCCAAGGGAACAAACTTTCTTTATGAAAGGATGGACATTGGAAGGGGTATTTGCAAGAAATGTCTTGCAAGTGTAAAGAACACACCTTTCGAAGGCGTTGTAATATGTTCTTGAAATAGTTCAAATTAGTTGGTTCTTCTACTTGAATGCTTGATTCCGTATTAGTAACTATGTTTTACAATTGTTGTAAAAGTGTGCTAATAAAAAGTAGAAGATTAATGAGAAGAGAAAGTACTTCACATTCGGAAAGTGAATAAAATATAGATCTCTGCGAAAGCGGATTGTACTTACTTCCTCATATGAACTACCAAAGAAA